GGAAGAGCAGGAGGAAGGGGTGGAACCCAGGAAGCCAAAGAGAAGAGTGTTCAGCCAGGGGGCAGTTTAAGCATAGGTACTGAAACAAGGCAGGCTTGTGCTTACTCACTGATCTGAGTACTCCTGCTCTTCCGGCCTGCTACTCTGTGCTGCGCCCGTGCTTACCTTGCTCCCGAAGACCTGGTCCCTCTCGGGAGGGTAACAAGGGAACGTGTTCAGTGCAGATCAGTGAGTTTTGCCAGTAGTACCACTTTAATGTGAACATGAATTTCACCATTTCTGGGTATAATTTAGCTTAAAAGTTAAAATTAGTTTATTTAATGCTAATCCATTGATCCTAGGTGTTTCATATGAAACTGAGTTCATGGCCTTCATTTGGAATCTGTAACTTTTGAAAATATGTAAGAATTCAGGAAATTCCAAGTCTAGTTTTCTTTGTCAATTATCACTAAAGACTTGTCACTTGAACAGAAGCTGTTAACTGTCCTAAGGTTAGCTCATTTTTAAAATTGTTGTTGTTGTTGTTATGTGCCGTCGAGTCGGACCCAACTCACAGCGACCCCTCTTTGGGTTGCCGAGGCAGTATCACCACGAAAGTAGATTGCCCCACCTTCTTTCCGAGGAGTGCATTTTTAAAGTAAGAAAAGAAAATGAATCAGTAATCTGCTGATGGTTCCAAGGCTGCCTCATTATACAACTCTAGAAGACTCCAACACTTAGCATTTTAGCTGTTTTCTTTTGTTTTTTCCTTTCCTTTAGAGTAATGATGGCTTCCTTTTATAGTGACTTCTCCCCTCACCCCAAATAAAAAACACAGAATATTTACATATATGTATTCTTATATTTTATCTTTGCTGAGGCTTAATGTGATTGTACGATTTGTTCAACATTTCACAGTAAATGACAAATGGGACAAAAACAACTTATCTCTAACTTATTACTTGTTTTAGTTATCTAGTGTTGCTTTAACAGAGATACCACAAGTGGTGCTGGCTTTAGGGAAAGGCTTTCTCTCTCTCTCTGTTAGCTCTGGAGGAAGGTCCTTGTCCCTTCCTTCAGCTTCTGTTTCCTGGTTCCTTGCAGATCTTCATGTGGCTTGGCATCAATCTTTCCCCAGGTCTAAGAGGTTCTCAGCATAGGGACCCTGGGTCCATAGGATGTGCTCCACTTCTGGCTCTTCTTTCTTCATGGTATAGAGATCCTTTCTTCTCTGCTCACTTCTCTCTCCTTTATCTCTTGTAAAATAAAAGGTGATGCAGGCCACATCCTAAGGTAACTCTTCTCACCTCAGATTAGGGCTATGACCTGAGTATGAGTGGTGTCTTAAGTAAGGGTGATGCATCTAACCCTAATCTTGGCTCATTAACATAACAAACATAACCTAATCCTCTTGAACATAACCTAATCCTGCCTCAAAAACCACAGGGAGAGGTTAGGGTTTAGAAGACATCACAAAATAGAGGATAATTACATCATAACTCAAAATGGAAGACAATCACACAATACTGCGAATCAGGGCCTAGCCAAATTGGCACATGTATTAGGGGGACACAGATCAATTCATGAAACTACTCTTCTACCTTCTATTCCATTGAATAAAATAAAGTGTATGCCACAATTTAGTACTTGCAAGACACAGCAGACTTTTTGGTTATATTTTGTCTTTTGGTTGAACCCTTTATATATGTCCACTTTATTTACAAACTTAAGAGCAGTTTTGTCAGATAATAGCCCTTTGGTTGAACCTTTCATAAATATCAAATTCTTGGACTACTACAAAGAAAATAGTACATACGCACAATTTGATTCTCAAGAGTTTAACTTACTGATTTACTTTTGCCTTGGATTATAATTCTTGTGGGATTATTTCCTCTCTGTTCTTTCATATCCACATAAATAGCTGAATTTCAGTGACTCCTTATGTTAAAGTAAATATTAACTGAGGTTATACCAAACAATAATTAATGTTTTCTACTCTGGTCAAATTATAGTTAGTTTGTTCTGGTTACCTGGTGACGCTCTGACAAGAATATACCTCAAATGGTATGGCTTGAACAAACAGGAGTTTATTCTCTTACAGTTTGGAGGCTTTAAGTCCAAGTTCAAAGTGCCAGGCTTTAGGGGCTGGGTTAAAGGCCCTCAACTTTGGGCTTCAGTTCTGCCTCCTGCTCCCAGCCCACTGGAGCTTGAGGCTTTTCTTCACTCAGACAGCTACTGACAGCTACTTCACTCAGACAGCTACTGGCATTGAGAAGCCCAAAGTTGACAAGTAAAAAGGCACAGTCCCAATGTTACCAAACCACATAGCAGGCCATTAATTCAAGTCCATTGTAAGTCCCAAGGTCAGCAGAGCATGGCAGGCTGCTGAACAATGACACAGCTACATGCAGGGTTCAAGTGTGCCATAAACTAGAGACCATTCCCCAAGACTTCTCCTTATATACTGGAAGCAGACCACATCCCTAAAGCAGCTACTCAGCTGCTCACAGTAGATTCTACCATGGAGATGATTACCAGTCTCATCATGAGGAATACTACATCCAGCTGCCCAGCCACTCAACCAGGCCCAGCCAAGTTGACACACAAGTTGACACACACACAGTGTTTCAGAAGTAATTGAGAAAATTAAGAACATACTTGGTATTAGGAAAGATTTTTGCTATCAGAAAAGTCTTATGATTAGCAGGCTGAAATAATATATCTAAAACAATCTTCCACAGAACGTGAAATTGCTTTAAAATATCTAAGATTACTGTTGTAATACATCAAAACCTATTGATGATGTTGTGTCAGTTCCAACTCATAGAGACCCTATAGAACAGAAAAGAACAGGCCCACAGTGTTGCCAAGGCTGTAATCTTTACAGAAGCAGACTGCCACACATTTCTCCTATGCAGCACCTGGTGTGTTCGAACCACTGACCTTTTAGTTAGCAACCAAATGCTTAACCACTATGCCAGCAGTGCTCCTTACTATTGAGATAAGTGCTATAAAATATTTTCTCCAAGCTATTTAATCACATCCTAATTAATACTTACTTTGAAAAATGAGAACCTTTGGAGAAATTATTCCCTTAAAAAGCACAGATAACTTACATTATATTAATAAATACATAGGAAGTATCTAAATAACAAAATGATGTGGCCCATGAGATCCCTGTTGACAAGGTGGAGAAATGTAATTGAAATAAAATGTGTAGATGGATCCACATGTAGTTGAATCTCACATCAAGAACATGCTAATACATGTGTTATATGAAGGGAGGTGCTAATAACCTATTACATGATTCTTTCCTTAACAAAGTAACATTCATCATTTTATTAACTACTTGAATGAAGGCACTTTTGGTACAGTTCCCAATTTGGAAAAATACCATGTTTGGAAGGTTGATAATCTAATTTTGGGGCAACATCATTAGCATCAGAAAAACCTCCAATGTTAGTAACACGATAGTGATTTCAAACTTGGATTAAAATATCCTGTTTTGTTAGAATAGAGGAGATAAGACTTCATAGCCGTCAAGTCAGCCCTGACTCATAGCGACCCCTCCTTGGGTTTCCGAGGCAGTATCACTACGGAAGTAGGATTGCCCAACCTTCCTTCCGAGGAGTGGCTGGTGGGTTTGAACCGCCAGCCGTCTGGTTAGCAGGCAAGTGTCTTAGCCACTATGCTACCAGAGCTCCCAGCAATATGAAAAATCCTCAGGAGGTTTAATTTATTTTATTCAGTGGGATAACAGTTTAATGGCATGTAAGTGCACATGCAAACACATGCACACTCATATAAATTCAACAAAGATGCTTCCAGGCTTTCTTAGAAAGTGAGTGAGTTTTCTATTATTAAGAAATTGATGTAGCAGATGTGATAGAGGAATTTCAAGTAAATATCAGGGGGTGTGGTAATAGATTAAACTCAACTTCTAAGATCAATTACCTGATAGTCAAACCTATGAATCCTATGAATTATTAAATGTCCAAATAGCATAAATTTTATTTCTGGGTCATAGCACTTTTCTAAACTTAAGATTCTTGCAAAACTTAATTCTGTTACTATTTTTCAATTTTGATCCATGTCCTAAAAGTGAATTTATTGAACAGCCTTCAAAAGTATGAAGCTATCCATGTATATGGTATAGCCATATACTTTTTTGAACTTTTTCTGTTTAATAACTGCATCTCTCCTGTTTGACATTAACTTATGTGTGCTTTGTTTCACATTCCAGATGATCTTAATATAAGTGGCATCATAGCAGCTGTAGTCATTGTGGCCTTGGTGATTTCCATTTGTGGTCTTGGTGTGTGCTATGCTCAGAGAAGAGGCTATTTTTCAAGTAAGTAAATTTCATCTTTTTTTTTGATAAACATTTTCCTGTGGAAATATGGTCTGGAGAATATTTTTCATAGATTTTCTGTAGCAGAAAATGTCCAAGGTGATATGAAGGTGGGTTATGAAGCACCTTGGAAAACAGGGAGAAAACATAGATTGCCTCATTGCAAAATATCAGGGAGCACCACGGAATATGAGAGGAACCTATGAGTGCAGCAATACTGTGAAAGGACCTCCACATGGATGGATATTTATATGTGTGTGTACATGTAGATAAGATCTTTATATTTTTAAAGTTACCGTGGAAAGCTCAATACAAAAGTTGATTTCTAGTTTTATAAGAAATGTCATCAAAATAAATCAGTGACAGGTTTTATTAGTGTAGAACAATGAAATGCTGTTGCCATTTTAGCACAACTATATTTAGTAGACAATTGTTCCAGAAAAACTAAACCTATTGTATTAATGTTGCTTCTGAACAAGGATTATATTTTTTCAAGTTTATAGTTCTTATAACTCCAAATCCCCATTTAGTGATGTAGGAAGTTTGATGTAAATGAGTTAGGCTTAGTAATAATACATTTTATTCTCTTAATGCATCTCTTCACTCCCAATCTTTAAAATGATCTGAGAGCTCAAAAGATACAGAACTCTATCAATTACAGTGGCACCAGTGTAGAAAGTAGAATTTTTTAAATGGAATTATAAATTTATAGTATGAATAAATTAAAATGTACAGTGAACATTGGTTTTAGAATTTAGGTTTTAAAATGTTTCATACCAAGATAAAACTTAAATTTAAAGGAAGTTTCTAATCTATAAAACATGTTTTGTACATAATATATATACAAATATGTATTATGTGTCATAAAATGTTTCCATGAACATAGAGTCAAAGAAACTCCCTACAATAAAGAATAACTGCTCTGTAAACTATAATAATTGTTCTACTAATGTAATGTAATTTTATGAACAAAAGTCAGCTGAGTCCCCTGCTGGCCACCAGTGGAAGTACAAAGAGATAAGATTGCTCTTTCAAAATTCTTGTCATTTTTACACTTTCAAAGAATACCCCTCAGAGTATTCTTTTTTCCATTTTTTTTTTTTTTAATTTTTATTATGATTTGGGTGAAAATTTACAGAGAAACTTCATTTTCCATACAGCATTTCATACACATTTTGTCTTGTGACATTGACTGCAGTTTCCTACAATGTAAGAGCTCTCTTTCTACTTCCTCCCCATAGTTACCTCTTCCCTGTGTCCTTCTACCCCATGCACGCCTGCCTCCCAGGTGGTCTCCCTGTGCATAAACTGCCCTTCTGTTCTACCATGATTGATCTCTCCAAGGAGTGTATCTATCTGATGTAAATATTCAGCCCATATGCTGGTCTTTTATTTGGCTGATAGGCACAGGAGTGAGTTTGATTCCAGACCTGAAGGACAGCTAGGGGCCATAGTTTCAAGGTTTCACCAGATTCTATCAGACTAGCAAACCTGATCGTTTTATATATATATATATATATATATATATATATACACACATACATACACACACATATAATTTTGAGTTTTGTTCCACATTGTTCTCCCACTCTAACCAGGATCTCCTACACAGATCTACCTCTGAGTGGTTGACAGTTGTAGCTAGGCACTTTCTAGTTCTTCTGGTCCTGTCAGAGTATTCTTTTTTCTTTTTTTTAATTGTGATTTGGGAAAAAGTTTACAGAGCAATTTCACTTTCCATACAGCAGCTCACATACACTTTGTCTCATGACATTGAATACAATTTACCACAACACAACAGCTCCCCTCCCACTTCCTCCCAATAGTTACCTCTTCCCTGCATCCATCCCTCCATGCACTCCTGCCCCCGAACTATCTCCCTGTGCATAAACAGCCCTTCTTTCTCTCATAATTGTTCTCTCCAAGGAGTGTATCTACCTAGTGTAAATGTTCACCTCATATGCCTGTCTTTTGTTTGGCTGGAAGCCACAGGAGTGGGTTCAATTCCAGACCTGAAGGGCAGCTATGGGCCATGGTCTCAGTGGTTCCACCAGGCTCCATCAGACAAGCAAACCTGGTCCCTTTTTTTTTTTTTCCAAATGATTTTGAGTTTTGTTCCACATTGTTCTCCCTCTCTATCCAGAATCTCCTACATAGATTCCCCTCCAAGTGGTCTGTCAGAGTATTCTTAATGCAGATTTGGTAAACAAACTTTTCTGAAAATACTGAATCAATTGGTTTAGATATTAGGAGGTCACTAAGAATGTTACTCCTGTTTTCAATTGGCAAAAAAAAACCTATCTAAAAACTATTTTCTTGAACTTGCCTTTAGAACAATTGTAGTAAACTATAGCCTATGAGCCAAAGCTGGCCTACTGCCTGTTTTTCTATGGCTTATGAGCTAAGGGTGATTTTTCCAAATGAACATTTGCAGACTATTTGATGTTAGGGACTATTAACTTTGAACCCCAATTAACAAAAATGTTCTCCCCAAAAACAAATTATATTTTTCTCCTTAGTAGACCTGTATTACAAAATCTTGATGATTATTACTACATTTTTAATTTTATCAGTAAACACTTTTTGGAAATTTGCTCTTATAAGAATGTACATAACCATGAGACAAAATGTCTATGAACTGCTGCTATATGGAAAATGAATTTGCTCTGAAAACTTTCACCCAAATCACAATAAAAACTTAAAAAAAGAAAAAAGAGAGAGAGAGAGAGAGGCCTCTGGAAAGGTATAGACTAGAGCTGAGGAAAGAAAAAAAAAGAATGTATATAACATCTTTGATTTTTCCTCTTGGCCTGCAAAGCCTAAAATATTTACCATCTGGACCATCACAGAAAAAGTTTACCAACCCTTGATTTAGAAGGTACAAATAGCAAATGAGGCTAAAGATTGAGAAAAAGAAATTAAGCTATAGTTCAGTTTTATATGAATCTATATTATTGTGTGTTAACTATTGCATTAATGATATGTACTTATTCTTTTGTAGAAGAAACCACCTATCAGTAAGTATACTCTCCTTAAAATGCATGCCTTTCTTCTTACAACAACTAATTTTCTGTTAATCATTTGTTTAATGTAAAATGTGGGAAGTTGGGTTACTTGTGTAGGTATAATCCTATAGAGAAGTTACTCAAGCTTTTCTAGAAATAACATCACAACTCATGTCTCTTGCCTACTTGTAAATAATATTTGATTACCTAGAAGAGAAACATACAACAACAACAACAGAGGAGAAATAAGGCGCTCTTGTGGGGTAGTGGATAAGGCATTTGGCTGCTAACCAGGTCAGCCGTTCAAACCCATCAGCTTTTCCCAGAAAAAGGATGGGGCACTCTACTACCATAAAGATTTACAGCCTTGGAAACCCAATGGGGATCGCTATGAGTTGGAATGGACTTGATGGCAGTGAGATATTTTTTGAAAGGAGAAATATGTTCAGTAATTTGATTCCATAGGCATTTCTACAGTTTCTTTAAAAAAGGTTTTTGTTGTATTTCACTAAATTGAAAATAATCAAATAAAAATTTTACTTACAGTCACTTTTTTTCCATCAACAGCTATTTATTGAATACCTATTTAGTGCCCAACATTGCTGTAAGGACTAGGGACACAGCAGTGAACAAAACATACATTATGAAGAAAGTCCATATTATGAAGCCTAGATTCTATTAGAGGAAGGCAGAGAGTAAACAAATAAGTAAAAGCTATAGCATGTTAGATGGTTATAAGTATTATGGAGAAAAATAAAACCGTTACAGAGATAGAGAATATACGAAGTAGGAGAGGAGATTATAATTTTAAATAGCTTGGTCAGGGAAGGCTTCACTGATAAGGGGATATTTTATAAAACCTGGAGGAGGTGAGGAACAAGGCATACAGCTACCTGTAAGAAGAGTGTTCAAGCAGAAAGGAGAAAATAAACAGAAAGATAGTGGGGCCAAAATGCCTGTAGTGTCTGAGAAGCAACAAGAGGACCAGTGTGGTTGGAACAGAGTGAGGGAAAGTAGAGATTAGCTGAGCAGAAAAAGCAGGGCCACATTGTGTAGAGCCCCTTCTTGGCAAATGTGAGGACTTTGGCTTTGAGCAGAGAATAGATATCATTTTACATAAGGGGAGGGATGGCATTGCTGGGGTGATAGAGCTAGTCTTCCCTTCAGTCAGTGTCTCTGTCTACCCAAGCAATAATTTGGGATGCAATATCTTTATTCCTAAGGCGTTCTGGTGGTGCAATACCTAAGGCATTTTGACTGCTAACCAGAAGGTTGGCTATTCAAACCCACCACCTGCTCCACAGAGTGAAGATGGGGCAATCTACTTCCATAAAGATTTACTGCCTCAGAAACCCATGAGGGTCACTATGAGTTGGAATCGACTCAGTGGCAGTGAGTTTGGTTTTTTGGTTTTTCTATCTTTATTCCTAGACACTCCTCCCAGTCCTTAAATCTACAGCCCTCAAAATGTGTTGAATGATGAAGTACATGACTAGAACCCTACCCACCTTGTAAAACTATCTTTCTGTGGAAAAACTGAATCTTGAGATTATGATAATCAACTTAAAAATCAAGCATTCAGAATGTTAAATGTTAATAAATGGAAAACTCTATCTGGTTTCTGATATATATAAAAAAATCTTTAGTAACCTAAGGTACATTTAGATCCATAAGGATTTCATGCATGGCTTTCTCTGTCACTATTATCCATACATAAAGAAATTTAATAAGGATTGCTGACTTTTGTTCCACTTGGCTAAGATAAATGTTTGTCTTCCTGCTGAAAAAATGTATAAGGGTAACATTAACTAAAAGAGGCCATATGCTTCAGAATTGAAAGTGATAATTTAGTAAATATTGTCTTTTATGTTCCACAAACAGGAAGAATAGTTGTGCATCTGAAGCCACTACAATGAGTGAAAATGTGAGTACTTTTAATGTATGTTTATGGAACAGATCCGTTTAGGGAAGAGGGCCAGGAAGTGAGAAAACTGTATAGCAATGGTGGACTTTCTTTGTACTATTATGTATTCCTGGTGTTTGGATGAAGCTAAATAATTGTTAGTTTCCTTCTCCTGTCTGAGGAGACATGATAAAATAATACCAAGCACTTGTAGAGCAATTATAGAAAGTGAGCTCTACCATAACATTACTTTCTCTCATGATGCTTTCTATTATTATTCTGACTCATCAATATTGCTCTGTCTGGTATTACCAGCTCCATGTTATAAATGAAGAAATGACACTCATGATGTTTTCACCGGAGCTAGAACCTAGTTATCTTGCTTCCTGGAAGCTTGACCAAGCAATAATTTAATGTCACTTCTAGCAGATCTGTGGTTCCAGGACTCTCCTTTCGTTAATCAAAACATTTTCACAATTTAGGGATTTGGAATATCCTCTGCTACTGCCAAAGGGAGCATTTCAGAAGTCCTTCAAAAGCTGCAATAATTATCTAATTCAGATAGTGTAGAGAATACAATTTAGACATTAGGATTCTTTTGTACTTTTCCATTTGTAAACACTATAATGAAGCAATAAATAATATCACTGCTCAAGGTTTGTGGCTCTTTGGATGGTGTATTAGTTTCCTAGGGTTGTCATAACCAGTTACCATAAACTTGGTAGCTTAAAACAACACAAATACATTTTCTCACTGTTGTGGAATCCGAAGTAAAATTGTCCTCAGGGTTGGCTCCCTCTGGTGGTCAGAGGGAGAATCCATTCCATACCTCTCAGCTTCAGGTAGCTGCTGGCAATCCTTGGTGTTCCATGGCTTGGGGCTGCATAACTGTCTGTCTTCACATGGGCTTCTCTCCGTGTCTCCATGTGTCTCTTTTTCTATATCTGATAAGGACACTAGTCATCGGTTTTAGGGCCCACCCTAATTCAAGATGATCTTTTTTCAATATTCTTACCTTAATTACATCTGCAAAGACCCTTAATTCCAAATAAGGTCAAATTCTTAGGCTACAGGTGGACATATCTTTTGGGGACCACAATTCATCCCAATATAAATGGATATTCAATATTCTGAGTTATTTGTTTAGCACTATAGAGTATGGGGAGAGTGCAGTGGTGGTGTAGTGGTTAAGGCATTTGGCTGCTAACCAAAAGGTCAGTGGTTCAAACCCACCAACTACTCCATGGAAGAAAGATGAGGGAGTCTGCTTCCATAAGGACTTACAGCCTTGAAAACCCAATGGGGATTGCTATGAGTCAAAACTGGGTCAATGACAGTGAGTTTTTTGGAAGGACTTTCTTTTTTTTTTTTTT